CCCCCCTCCCCCCACCCTTCACTCACTTAAAAGAAATAAACTTAAAAACAAAACTGCCATGAGGGGGGCTCCTGGGTGGCTCAGTGGTTAGGCATGCAACTTTTGATTTTGGCTCACAGTTCGTGGGACCAGGCCCTTTGTCTGACTCTTCAGTGACAACGTGGAGCCTGCTTGGGATCCTCTCTCTCTCTGCCCCTCCCTTGCTCTCAAGCACAATCTCTCTCTCTCAAAATAAATAACCATTAAAAAACCCCAAAGGTCTGCATGGGAAAGGCCAGAGGGAAAGTCAGCCTCCTCCTGCCTGCTCTTGGGGACTACCCCTTCCCTCCCCGTCCTTCCTCCACTCCCAACTTCCCAGAGGCTCCTACCCGACTGAGTCAGACCTCATCACCCCTGCCTCTTGTCTCTTCCTGCCCTTGCTTCCTACAGGGAGGTTCCCTCCCACACCTCACCCACCTGTCCAAGAGCCTTCCCTGAAGGCCCTGTCCTGCTCTTCATTTCACTAAGGTCATGTGACTCTAAGTTACACCCACAGGTGCTTGTTGTCACCCTCAATAGGATGCAAAGCTCCAGGAGAGCAAAGCCCTTGCCTGCTGGGTTCACTTCTATAACCTGGAGCCTAGAAGAGTTCTCGGTTTATATGAAACAGACCCTCAGCCTACACCTGTGGAATTAAAAAACGCCCAGTTTCACATATTAAAAAGGTAATAAAAACAAGCAGATGACATGATGAATAAAGCAAGTGAGAAGCCCACAGCTGAACACCTTGCAAACGCTGGTATGAGATCTGAATCAATTCTAGGCTTAGAAAAGGTGATGACCCCGGTGGCCACTAAACTTTTAGCACAACACACATGACAAGTGTGGAAATAAAGACAGGTTTTCCTCCTTTTTCCTCCCACGCACAGCACCTGAGCCCCCGCCTCAGACAACTCCTCACTCCCACATCAGCAGGAAGGCCGGGCCGTGAGAAGCGGCGCACAGGCCTCTGGGCCTGTAGAGCTGCCACCTCTGTGGCTGTCTCCTCACCCACAGGGCAGAGACGGCAGCATCTCCCTCTTAAAGAATCTCAGTGATTAATTCCGGTAATTTTTGTCAAACACTCAAATGTTTATTAAGATGAAAAAAACCAAGCTACCTTCTGCCCCACTTCAAGCGATGGACACCTCCTTCTCCCGCAGACAGTGTCTGTAGTCCCCCCGCCACTTGTTCCATCGCCACCCTGAGCACTTCCAGAAAGCCCGCCTCAAGCAGAGCAACAGCATCCATGCCTCCCTGGCCGCCAAGCGGTGCAGAAGCCACGCGGCCCTGCGGGGTCCCAGCACGGGAACTCCAGAGAGGCGAGCTGTGCCCTCCCTCACGGGGCAGATCCGCGACTCCCCACGTTTAGTTCCGCTTTTCCCACAGTAAGACCATACCCTCCACATAGGGCCTCAGCTTACACTCTTCCGGAGCATCACCCACCCACAGCATCTGTGCACATAGAAGCGGCTGAGCGCTACCTCTGGGCAGGGTACCGCCCCCTCAGGGACATTCTTCCTTTGCGTCTGAGTCCCGAGGTATCCGATTAAAGGTGGAATTGGGAACAGCCAATTCCCTGTCCCCTGGCTGTCTCCAGGGCAAGGTGCTGTCAGGCCACCTGCTGCTAGCCTCTGGCCAACGGCGTGCAAGACTTCCATCCTGGCCACCACTGGCCACTGCTGCCACCAACCCCACCTCCTTGACAGGTGAAAATCGTGAAATCTCTGTTTTCATCTAAGCTAAACTTCATGTGTGTATGAACCAGGAAACATATTTAAAAACCACCCAGACATCCTGGTAACTTTCTGTTTTTTAATCTGGGTTCTGGTTACCTGAGTGAATTCCTGTTTGTGGAAATTCATCAAGTTATACACGTATGACACTTATGCTTTTCTGTACAAATAGTATACCTCAATAGAGAGTGGTTTTTTAAAATTAAAAAAGCTATCCACGTAGGTAGATACAGAAATAGCATAATGCCAATAATGTGACAGGGGGTTCACAGTGCTGTTTTCTATACTTTTGTGCTAACAATAGCTTATTTCTTGACCTGGGTTGTAATTACGTCGGTACCCACGTTACCAAGATAACTGATTTTTCTATGCAGATTACATTCAAAGCAAAATACACTAAAACTGTTTTCAAGTTCTCTACAGAGTTCAATTAGTTCTGAAATCCTTGTTCCCCTTTAGGGTAGATGCATGACCACCACTTGACTCTGCCAAGCTGGAAATAAAAAACAGCACAATTACTTTGATTAGTTGCCTCACAAAACTAAAAAGAGCAGCAGAACATTAGAACAGCACGGAGGTGAAGGTAAACCCGCGTGAGGGGATCCTCTTTGGGCCTCTGCCTTCTCCACACCACCGAGTGGCCTGAATTTCAGGGCTGGAAGGCCCATCACATGTGTGCACACTGGTCCACTTCCCTGCAGTGCCTGCCGGTCAGGGCAAGGGTGTGAATGCCCGTGTCTCACACTTATGTCACAATACCTCACTTGAGGTGTTCTTTAAAAATACTTTAATTCATTCTAAAAGATGTGTAATGAAGCTCAGTGTAAGAATATGAATCTGGGGGCTCCTGGGTAGTTCAGTCGGTTGAGCATCTGACTCTTGATATTGGCTCAGGTCATGATCTCACAGTTGTGAG